GAGTCAGCCCTACACATGACTTGCTGTCTGCAGCGTCAGCTCTGGGGCTGTAAATCAGATTGTTTAATCTGGCAGAGCAGTTTGCACACAGTAAAAAGGGACAAAGGAAAATACAATAATCAGCGAGCATTTAAGAAGAAACATATCGACATGACATTGGAACTTTGGAAGAGACCCACTGATGGTCCAAAACCAAAGGACATGAGACTTGCCCTTACTAGTGAAAATGCTGTTTTTGATATCAGAGGTCCATGTGTAAAAAAAAATATGTGGTTTCTGGCTGATCTGTTGGGAAATTAGGTTTGAACTTTGGAATTCCAAGGACAAATTGTGTTGTTCTTAGCGAGAGTAATGCAGAGTATCACAACAGACGATGAACCAGGGACATATAAAACTCCATGTCAGATTGCGGTCCGTCGATCACTTTCCCTTTACAGGTACCTCTGAGGAATTGCCACTTCTGAGGAAAGAATGCATGAGAGCATGTACTGTCAGGATAGCCCCAAGGAGCTCAGGGTGATCACATATATCAAAGACAGTGTGATGTGACAGGTGGGATGTGTCATCCAGTGCTTCTCCAGTCCCCATGCCACAGTGCTGTCTCCCTTCTGTCGCTGGTGGGAGGAACGCTAAGCCAGCATGGCAGAAAGAGTCCCAGACAGAGACCTCGACATCTGTAGTCACAGCTGTGATGGACAGGTTAGGGCAACTGAGTTAAAATACCCAATTCATGTGAGAACGTCACACATTCACCCAACTGATTGGCACAGACGCCATGCTATTCACTGACTTCAATTAGCATTGGGTTTTAGAAGAACTCAGCTTTGTTCTTCACGGGAGGGAGAAAACATTGACCCAGACAGCAGCTTGCCCCCCGCTCTGTCAGGAAGCTCGGGGTCATAGAGTGCCACTGAGGAGCACCGAGTTTCTCCTCCGACCGGGACCTAAAAAATACATACGGAAAATACACTGCACCAGGTCATTGGCAACGTCAAGGTTAGACAGGTGGAGGCATGAGCAAAAAACACATAAGATGCCCTAACTACTGGTGACAGGCATATATTCAGAATCAAAGATAAGGAATAGCTACTGTAAGCTTGAAATGATGAATATACATTTAGACGTAGCAAGCAAACCGTGAAGACAACTGAAATTATGCCTGGCCTTGCGCCCTAAATAGGATGTAGACCGGTCTTATCTATGCAGTAAGTGCTGTACTCCCATTTCAGGCTTGTTTTGAATAGTTCAATTTAATGAACAGACATAAACAGTCAAAGATTATGTTATATTTTTATCTTCAAAATTACTTGGATGGACTTTGTAACAACTGCAGCAGTTCTCCAACTCAACACAAAATAGCAGCTCCTAACAGCGTGATGAACACACAGCAGGCTAGCATCTTTTTTCGAAGGGTGTAAACTCCACACTGAACAGATCAAGCTGCTGTTCAGGGGCAAATTAGAGAAACCTCTCTCTCATGCACTGCTAGAGGGCAGCATTGTGTCAGGCTCTACAGCGTAGCATGTCCCACTGACAGTATGCTATTCCTGGGCAAGAAGAATCGTCAAAAAGGTGTCATTTGTTCAGCCTCAAGTCTGCTCTGGTGTCCACCCACACCATCACGGCTCCCAGAGTAAACGTTTGCTGCATGTTGGAGGAGCACCCGGGTGAATTTCATACATGTGTCAACAGGTGGAGCAGTGGTTAAGGGACAATAGCGTGTATGCCTGGGGATATACCAGTGCAGTGATTGGGGCTGCATTTGACATGTTGCATTGGTCCCTAGCATGGGAGACCTCCAAAAGTAACCTGTAGCTCCCCGGATGACACTTAGGATGATGGGATAGCATGCACTACAAATCATAAATGTATTTTTATGCTCTTATAATATAATTATTATCTTTACAGATTTTGTGCAATACCACAAGTTTATAAGCAAGTGACTGGAGAGTAATGTAGGGTTTTAATCAACAACATGGCATTAGCTGCAGGACCTGAGCCTTTGTAGGGAGTAGGAAAACAGCAGGAACCTCAGCCTTTATTTATTTGCTCAGGTCACTGTGGAGAGTTCATTTCCATAACTTTCTGGAGGCCCTGTCATCCTCCTGTCGGGGCCAGCTGACCATACTGCAAAAAGACACGCGAGACAAGAAGAATGTGAGCCAAATCTGCCAAATGAGGTCATTTGGCCAGACAGATAATTTGTCCTTCTGTAGCTCCACTTTACCATGATAGGTTTGATTGGTTAACTTTGATCATTCGTACAAATACTCATGAGTAACGTAAAACATGAAATAAACACGAATCACATAACATCTGAGAACTGAGCATAAAATGATACCTTAAAAAGCTGTTCTCACTGTAGCCAAGGAAAGAGAAATTTCTGTGCTGCCAGTTAAAGGACTTAAACGCCAACTGAAAAAGTGCATACTGAGAAATTCCTATGGAGGACAACTTCCAAGGAATTTCAGAACATGCATTCCTCTCCAAAGAAATTATAAAAGAAGGTGATGCAACAGGAATCCTTCTTAATACCATTTCCAACCAAGGTTTCTCCACTCGTGGGTAATTCCTGACATTGTCAATTACCTTAATCTCTTACCTCTGTCTGCCACTCCTACTTACAAAAGTGTAGAAATCATTTAACATGTATAATGTCTGTAATAACAACTCAGGACATCCTAATACCACACAATCAACGCATGGATGCACAGGCGTGGAAACAAAAGTCCAAATGACCAGGCTGGTTCACAGATGTTAAAATGACTACTAAGCAGGCTCGTATTCCCCTCCCAGGATAGCATCTACACTTTAGTACAATGCACAAGTGCCCCATGTGAGACGCATCGGTGCCTTGCTGTTGCAGCTCGCAATGTCTCACGCAGATGAGATGACGTTAAGTAACAGTCCTCCTTGAGTGTCCCGAGAATCCCACATGCATCGAGTCATGACACATTTCTTTCTTTTCTCCCTCATTCTGTCCGTCATAATAAAACATCTGACTTACCCCAGATGTTAACTTGCACAGATTAAAAGAAATTAGACAGACACAACAAACAACAGAACATCAATTTAGTGAAAAATCAAGTGAACGCGTTCGCAATGTCGTCAGGCGCTCAGGCCAAGCTGCAACGGCCAGGCCCAGGGATTGGTGCCTGTGTGGGAATGTGTGGTGGACGTGCCACTGGTGTCCTCAGGGAGACGCTAAGTGAGAGGAGTCAGCCAAATAAAAAACAGACACCAGCTCCGGCCCTTTCTGACGTTTTTTATTTGGTATAGATGACATTATTTGGTGCAGATAATGTATTAATACAATAGATTTTGAATTATTGTTAATCATTATTATTAATTGTAAAAATGCAAAGTGAATTAATGGTCTGTACACGCCAAAACTGCTGATATGACAATGGGGAGTGAATCGCCTTTATGAGTTACAGATTACTTTCAATGTGATTATGACCTGGGAGAAACTACAGGGTTCAGCACTCGCTGTTTCAACACTGACAAGCATATTCTCTTATATATGGTGTAGGTTTCAAATTTGAAAGAGTATAGTGGGAGATTTCCTTCCGCATCACACCAGGGGAAGATATTGGAGAATCAAGAGGAAAGTAATCTTAATTTGACATTGAAGAGAACTGCCAAGCTGCAGTTATACGCTAAATGTTAAAAAAAAAAATTCCATGCACACTCCCAATTTGAGTTGGTGGTAGATATATAAAATATTGTCAGAGGGATGAATACATCAGGACAATTTATGCAGCGGAACTTTAAAAATTTTTTGCACCAAAACAGGAACATATGACATTCTCAATATCTTCTAAGCAGGATCACAGGGTCCAGAGCCTATCCCAGATACTACAGGCGATGGGCGCCAACCCATCGCTGGAAAATCACACCCATGGACAATTAAAAAACTCCTGTTCACCTTAGCATGGTTTTGGACTGAGGGGAAAACAAAAGAAGACCAGGAAGACCCAGGACCGAGACTTGTACCCTGATTCCAATGATATGACACAACAGAGCTAACCACTGTGCCACCACGCTCAATGCCATGTTGTCAAACACTGAAAAGTTCTTATTGTCCAATAACATAATCGCAAAGCCCGCTCAAAATTACGAGACTGCGCAAAACCATTCCACCCTCTCCACCATAATAATCCTGTAATATAATATTGCCATGTGCTGCATTATGCTATTCCTTAAAACTGGAGGGCAGCATCTGTTCATCGTAAAAACTTTTAGATGGGCCAGTGTTGATTAGCCAGCTGGCATCACACAATCCCTGGCAAACTGAAAAGTTCTTTTGAAGCCAGGAAGAGGCCACAGGCCAATGGATGTTGGTTGCTTTTCCTCCTTTGATGTCCAACATGAGCTGAAGTTATCTGATATTTGTCAGCGGCCGTATCTTTTATTTGACAAAGTACTCATCTTTCAATTAATATCTTGAAGTGTTTATACTGAAATTAGTGAATAATCAGGGAATGAAAAAGAAGCACACACCTTGATATTAAAAAAGCATCAAAAACATATTGCTAAACATCTGGTATATTGATATTTCTCAGTGGTTCTTAAATGGATCCCAGTTAGATAGATAGATAGATAGATAGATAGATAGATAGATAGATAGATAGATAGATAGATAGATAGATAGATAGATATGATACTGATCTTCTTGTGCTGCTGCTCTATTGAACATGAAGGAGCAGCACAGTGAGGCAGCATACGTGTGCATCAATGATGCAGTGATACTTTAATGACTCAGGACGCTGCAGTCAGCCGCTGGGAGTCACGGTGTACAGCAGCCCAGGCTGCCCATGTGCTGTGCTGTGGCCCCGCCACTCAGGAACAGGCAGCCGAAATGGGAGACTGCCGGGTGCATTTCGAGCATACCTCCCCGGAAAGCCAGCCCCTTCCCTTCCAATCTCTCTCTCTCTGCCTCCCTGCCTGTCGTTCCCTGCCTCCCCCACCACCCCCTCCCACTCCGCACTCGTGTGCGAACGCTCCTCTGAAGACCTCTCCCTCACACACGCAACTCTGTCTGTGGCTGAAAGAGGGGATATTCTCTCTGCAGTGGTTCACTTTGGTTTACGTGTCTGGAGACTGCCGTCAACTTTGCCGTTTTCTGTGTGTAATTTTATGTTCTCACTTTCATTTCGTTTCATTTCCCTCTTTGAAATCTTCTTTTTTGCATGAAAATCACTAATTTCTTAATCATAGGGGCAATCATTTTTGTTCCTGGCAAAGGTCTAATTTTCTTTCTTTGACAGACTATTGCCCGATGACCGCAGGTTAAAGGTGGACTTTTTGTGAATGTAGGAACATCTTTTTGTTGTTTGTTTTATTTAATAATTTATTTATTGAAAATGCTTCTTTTTGTAATCACTGGGACCTCAAACTGCTAACACCTTCATGTGAATCACACATGGTGCACTATGAGTTAATCAGTGTTGTATGACTGGCCCTAAATGTCGAACCGCTCTCTCAAAGAAGCCCTGCTTTCTTCTGCACTCAACCAAGGTAAGGCGTTCAAATTGGTACTTTGTTACTTAGGCTTAGTGAAACTGTACCAAATATGGAGTAACTCACTAAGACTAGAGGTACCTGCAGTTTTTTTTTATATGAAGGCCAAATAACTCTTAATTACAATTTAAATCTTAATTACAATTCAGCCCAGTACTTTTCAGATCTTTTGGTGAATCCTCCCTCATAGCAGACAACAAATATGGTAGAGTTTCAATGGTGTCTTCTGTGTGTTTGCTGTCATCAGACAGTGCTTTTAGCAAACAATAGTTCAGTTAAACTAAAACTGAATTCATGTCCAAAATATCAACGGTATTTCCATACAAAATCCCAGTTGCAAATTATTTCATGTTTGTAAAATGTGCCTGTTTTCTGGCCATGTGTTTTCCATCGATGCACAGAGATGACTACCCTGGAGCCCGTGGGAGTCCTATTGGAGAGGATGACCAACACCACCGATCCTCCACGGAATGCTTCAGCTGAGGATATGGCTGCCACCTTTACCATTGGCACAATCCTGTCCGTCATGTGCCTGGCGGGAGTAACTGGGAACATCTACACTCTGGTAGTCATGTGTCACTCCATGCGCTCAGTGGCCTCCATGTATATCTACATCATCAACCTGGCACTGGCAGACCTACTGTACTTGTTGACAATCCCATTTGTGGTCTGTACCCACTTCCTGAAGGGCTGGTACTTTGGTGAGGCGGGTTGCCACATCCTGATTAGCATGGATTTCCTGACCATGCATGCCAGCATCTTCACACTGACTATCATGAGCACAGAGAGATACTTCGCCGTTCTCAAGCCGCTGGACACCGTGAAGAGGTCCAAGAGCTACCGCAAAACCATTGCAATCCTGGTGTGGTTGGCATCCCTCATTCTCACCTTGCCCATGATAATCAGAATACACCTCATACCGGTGGACAACAAGATCATGTGTCAGCCTACTCTCAGCCAACTGTCCTACAAGATCTATATCTCCTTCCTCTTCTGCACAAGCATTGTGGCCCCCGGAATGATCATTGGCTACCTTTACATCTGCCTGGCCCGGACATACTGGGTCAGTCAGACAGAGATCTTCAAGCAGACGAAGAAGTTGCCTAACCAGAAGGTGCTGTACCTGATCTTCACGATCGTGCTGCTCTTCTGGGCCTGCTTTTTGCCCTTCTGGATCTGGCAGCTTTTGGGACAGTTCCACCCTTCCTTATCTCTGTCCAGCAAAGCCAGGCGCAACATCAACTACTTGACCACCTGTCTCACCTACAGCAACAGCTGCATCAATCCCTTCCTCTACACGTTGCTCACCAAGAACTACAAGGAGTACCTGCACAATCGGCAGCGGAGCTGGACCGCGGGGAGTTACTTCAACCGCAGGAGCCGCTTCCAGCGATCCCCTCGCCGCTCCCTGTCATCCAGCAGCCAGCAGTGCACTGAGAGCTTTATGCTTGGACATACTGCTCGAACTAACCACTGCAGTCTATGAGGTAGGTGCCTGTCTATGCACTGGGTGACCACTTCCCCAGCTTCCCTTACCCACCTACTTGACCAGCATTTCTCAATCCCAACCTTGGGGACCTGCAGACAGTCCACCTTGTAGCTCCCTCCCAGCTTCCGGTGGGGAGCAATAATATGGCAGGGAGCTGGGAGGGAGATTGGGTTGGGAAACACTGTAGACCATCGTGGGTTAAATTTCCTGACAGCTTAGTACATTATGTTTTGGTGTCTGAGATACGTTTCAGGGCCTGTTTCCATTAAGAGGATGCTGGTTTGGTTTGGTGGCCTAAACTTGCCTCAGCTGTTTGGGATTAAGCTTCATCCAAGGTGTGATGTGATGGCTATTCATGAGGTTGCAAACACATCTGGGTCTTTCACAGCACATCTTCACTTTATGGGCCAGCAAAGGAAGTATTAAAAAGAGGAATTCTATGGAATCTTTTGTGGGATCTGGAGGGTTGAAAGGGAGAGGAAGAAGTGAAGAAGCTCACGTTTGACGGTATGACGGTACTCCATCCCGACCTTTTCACAATCAGCCTCAGACTTTCTTACCCAGAAACATTTCTCATAGTTGTGAGAATGACTGACGCTTAAATGAGATGAGCATCCATTGTAAGCAGCAAACTCAGCTGTTATTACACCGTAATTTATGGTCAAGAAAAATGCTGGTTCGATGAAATGTTAATGAGCTATGCCTAATTGATCTGCATAATCATAAACTTATTTGTATATAAATCACATTACTTAAATAGTATATATGTCTAGACTTTTTCTAAGGATTCACTTGTTAATTTATTGATATGCTATAAATTGTATAATTTCAATAATGTAAATATAATCATATCAATAACCTGGAATGCAATTTCATTCTGTTATGTAAATGACATGAATATTTACTTCTCAGGATATTTTGGCACAAAAATCAACCACAAATCCTAGAATTTATTTAAACAGTCATAATAGGAAAAATACACAAATGTATTAATCAGGATATACTTTATGATTTGCAATTGTTTTTGTCTTTCAAAGCATAACAAAGACACAAAAAATGAATTAGATACATGAAAGTTTATTTTTTGATGTTACAGTAGTAAAATTGTAGATCTATCTGTAGATGTGAATATTTAAAAATGTGTAATATCATTGCATATTTATTTGTTCCTGTTTTCTTCACTACTTGACATTGATATGATGTCAGTGCATGTGTTTTTTTTCTCTATTTAATCTTTTAAAAATAAATATTAAGTTGTATACATCAATTTGGTAATAAAGTATTTTATTGTCATATCAATGTCATATAAGATCTAGACATATAATTTTGTTTTTAATTTCCATATAATCTTATAACCTAAGAGGATTAAAAAAAAATCACAGTATATATCGCAAGGTATGTATAATACTCTATTCAGTGGATTTATAACTGCAAATTGTCCCTTAGATTGTACTGCTAGTTAAAGTCAGTGTTAGTGACTTATGTCAGCAGTGAACAATCAATAATCCGGTTGTATTGCACTCTAAGATACTGATTTGCTGGCTTCAATGGATCAGAGAAAAAGACTATTAATGTAACAGAGTCAGCAAGGAACAATCAGGAATGAACTATATTGCTTCAGTTAATACAAAGTTGCAGTTTGCAGGGTCTAAACAGCATATTTCTCATCAGAGGAACAGTTTAGTCATCAGTCTTCACTGCCCTGTTCTGCACCTGACGTTAACATACCCATTCAGACTGTAACATACCCATTCAGACTGTAACATACCCATTCAGACTGTAACATACCATTCAGACTGTAACATACCCATTCAGACTGTAACATACCCTTCAGACTGTAACATACCATTCACACTGTTCAGATTGTTGGCTTTTCCAAACTATAGATGTAGGTTAACAGCTTTGGAATAAACATCATTTTGTACTTTAGGTGAGTGGTGGGGAGGAATGGTAATTTATAACTGTTTCATTCCATTTATAAAACTTCTAAGAAACATGCAACCTAATACTCTAGGTAAGAAACTCATTCTACCGTCAAGTGAAAGGAATTTAGGATGACCTTTAGGTATTATTGAAACTGTAATAGTTATTGTAACGTGATGTCTAATCAATAGCCAATCATATAGACGGCAATTCTCCAGAAATAACAGGGCTAAACTGAACACTTTTCACAAATGTACATATAATTGTAATGGATGCACTTTTATAAAAAGAACCTAGAGTGCAAATATTTGCAGTCCTTTAGTAAAAATAAAATGCTGCAATGCAGAACACTAATTGCACATGGCTGTAATCATCACAGAAATAAGAGAAAATATGGAAATGAGCCGTGAAACATGACTTGGCAGAGAAGCAGCATGCAGCATGGATCAGTGGTTTCTAAGTGATTAATCGTGTTACTGCCATATGATGTTAGTCCACACAAAATGTGCAGTGAAGTCTTATCACTTACAGATTGCCAGAACAGAAGGCAAAAAATAGTGTTAATAATCAATTGTGAATGAAATAACGAGAAAAAAGAATGGATGAACATGTTAAAACTAATTAAAAGATTAACAGCAGGAAAGGAGCATGTGAAACTAATCAAGCCAAGGCATTCTATTAAAATAATGAAGGCACTGGATTAAACTGTAAAAACTAAATAGAAACAAATCACACACACAACTGGAACACTGAGCATGGACAGAAAAAGACTGAGCAATATCTTTAATCATTCCTGCTTGATATGTTTTAATTTTTATAAGCATGGATTCAGTTCATCCTCTTGACTCATAGCTACAGTAAGGTTCTGCTGTCCTTGTTTTTCTTTGTTATTGTTGTCACATGATGGGAGAGACCATCATTTTTGCTGACCTCATCGATTACACCTGCAGCAAAGAAAGTAAAATTTTTCCTGTTAGTGCAGCTGCGTGTATCAGGATGGGATTTTTTTTTTTTGGATTTTGTATGACCCTGAGCAGAGTACGACTCAATGCGAGCCTGTCTATAGGATCCACATTAATAACACATCTTTTACAGTACTATGGATTCTAATGCAAAGTACCAATTGATTTATTTATGCATACTATTGATGTCACAAAATGTTTTTTATTGCTTACACCAGTATATCAGGGTGTCTCATTTTCTTAGTTTCCATTTCAAACCACTTGGCTCTGCCTTAGAAAAACTATGAGCAAACAGACCAGAAAATAATCATAAAGTCCAAAAAAGCAGCAGTTTCTTATTGCTTGGTTTTCCCTTGCTGAACACAGATTACCCAAGTTCACACAGCCTGAAGTTCGATTCAGCTGCAGTATAGTAGGCAAGAAGGCTGACCTTTGTGCATTTCTGTTTATCAAATCATGCACTGCAACTGCGCTTGAAGAAACGATATAATGGCCACTGTATTGATTCCTTTCAATGGGGTGTAAGTCGACTCTAAAATCATCACGCCAAATCACCAAACCTTTCTCTTATTCCCACAAGATGTTTAAATGGTGCTCTGTGGCAAAGGTCAGCATACTGATTTAGAGTTACTCATCAATAAACCCTTTAAGAAGTTCAGCGCATACTTTTAAGTGCACGCATGAGAGTATTTTTTGCCTCCCCTTTGTTCTTTTTTATTGCCAGAACATTGCTTCAAAGTACAAACAGTTATTAGCTGAATTATGTACATGACTGCTAATTCTTTTAAAATTTTCCCCCTTTTTATTGCATTTGCGCATATTTTTTAAGTAATACATTATTATGTGTTTATACTGTGAGCCCTAATCCAGCATGGGGCTAATATAACGCTCTTTACCAAGACGATTTTATTGTGGTGTTTATATTTTCACGTAGTAGTTTGCCTGAAAAGTTCATTATTGATCTGATTAGTCAGTTTCTTTATTGGTTTTACCAGACTATTTTTCTCTGCATTTTTCATATTTAATTTGTATTTATTTTTTTAAATTCCAGCTAAAATGATGTGCCAGGGGTCAGACAAATTTATCACAGGAGGTAGAAAAGGTCACACATTAAGGCCCATTTGTTAATTGCTGTTAAGCGTACTTTTTTGTAATTTAAACATGGAAATTGTCAGATGAGGGATGGGGCCATTGTTGTACATAAAAGTAAAGTAAAGAAAATGATGGTTGCAGTATGTATATATACAGTAATTTGCTATTCTCAGCTGTAATGCGTGTGTGTGTTTCTCCAGATTATTCATGTGCACTCAGCTGATTTGGCAGTTTCTGCTTGAAGAAGGATGTAAAGGGATGGGACAGAGGAGAGCGCTGGATGAAGCGGAATGCGGGCTGTCTCAGAACAGGGGGGGGGTGGATCTTTATTTGGGGTAATGCTGAAGAAGGGGGGAGGGGCTGAAAGAAGTAGAGTTATGGCATTGAGAATACAACAATGAAGGAGGTATAGGGGCAGGGAGGGGGGGAGAGGGGTAGCGAAACGAAGAATGTAGCTGATGTGACTGTAATGGAGCAGCAGTGTTTACGTGTCGGACTCTTTTTCTTTGGGAGTAGATTTGTAAATAGTTTTCCTGTGGCCCCTGAGAAAGGGGCATGTCTGCCATCTGCGTTTGCCTGCTTTTGCGCCTTTGTGTCACAGCTCAGACATTGACAGGGTTATTTCAGTAGCACGGGAAATATGTAATGTTGGACTAATAGATATGTGGAAGTGTTTAACTGAAAGTAGCTTCATGCAGTTTAAGTATGGCCTCTCACACAATCTGTATTTATGTAGTGTTTTTGTGCATTACAGATGTCTGTAGACTGGCAATAACATCCTTTAACACACAAAAAAGTTGCCCACACCGCTAAATCTGCATTACACTTTCACACAGTAGCCTGTGAAAGGTCGTATAGTTACTTGGCTGGCAATCTAGTTTTTATGCTTCTCTTAACCCTAACCCTGCCACTATTTCACAATGCCTCTGTGATTTACAGCTGGTGTTGTCACCCTTGGTGTCGAGCTAAATGTCACACCACGTATTAGTAATGACGTTACAGGACAAACAAAAGAGCTAGTTCCAAAAAATGTTATGAACTTAAGCCTTGCCGCACCTTACCAGCCTTAATAATGATTATGCATAATGAAATCGTGTATAGGGGCTGGCATGGTGGTGCAGTGGTTAGCTCTGGTGCCACATGAGATCAGGGTTTTCATCTCTGCCATGGATCCCTGTGTGTGGAGTTTGCATGCTCTCCCCTTGTCTTCATGGGGTTTCCTCTGGGTACTCTGGTCTCCCTCTACAGTCAGTCCAAAACTGTGCTTAGGTTAATTGGAGTTACCAATAGGTGTGAATGGTGTGTGAGTGAGCCCTGTGATGGGTTGGTGCTAACAATAACAATTTTTTTCTGGCGTGGTGATCAGACAGGAGACTGCCGGTGAAGTACTTAATAAATTTGGCTTGTCGTTTCAGTGTCCTTATCATCCTTGTCACATGATCCAAAAGTGAGAAAGGGGTCCGTAACACCGCTGACTCTAATCACCATGTGGTCCATTTGACTGAGGTCTACAGCTTAAGCGTGCTACAAAGGAAAGGAAGTTTTGCTGTGTCAAAACATATTCTGTCTCAGTTCTGTAGACCTGGCATCAGAATAGTAGTGAAGGCAGTGTAACCAGCACGGGGCGACTGGAATCCTGGGCCACAGAGATTATTTATTCGTCACAATTTATGCCTAATTAATGACAAAATTATCGATGCATTGTTGCTAATCAGTATTATAACCATTTATGGGGAAAAAAGGTTATCATGTGCAAAGGAAAGACGGAGACATAAACACATATTTAGTGGAGACAAGGAACAGTTCAAAGAGCTTGAAAGGATCATCAGGCCTAAGCAGAACCAGATGATGAAAGACATTCTTATGGTAATACATAAGAGAACTTCTGGGGAAGGTGACTCCAGGAAAGATTTTATTAGGTGTATCTGACACCAAAAGGCAGGTTTCTGTGATTTTCACAGTCGCCGCCACCAGAGGGGGCACCACCTCAACGCCTCTCCGAAGCATGTACTGTATCTAAGAACTGTTTCATTAAAAACACACATTGTACTATTTCCCTTTAAAAAAATGTGCCTCAAGTGTAGTACTAATATATTGCATTCATCAATAATATATATATATATATGCACACACACACACACACACACAATGTATACATATATATATTTTAAAAATACTTTGATTGCATTGGTTGCTCTGTGAAAACTTTAGCTAATTGAGAAAGATTGTGATAGTAGATCACATGATCACTGCCATATTTCCTGAGTCTCGGGTGGTTCAAACCCCCCTTATAAGGATACGGGTGGTGTAGTGCTTTTTTTGAGGCCACTGATTCTCCAAAAAGCAAATCATGTGGCTGCAACTGAACAACATTGACCCTTCTGCATCACGACTTTCCCCATCGTGGTTTTGATACACTGTATGATCAGCTTAAGAAATTAAGTAATTTTGCAAAAGCTGCTGATGACATGCCAGCAGACGACACACAAGAAGTTTAGTAACTCATAAATGCATAAAATATATGTACAGTGCCGGTTTGGAGGATACCAAGTGTGCTTACGGCGGCCCTTCAATTAATGCCTTGTTAATGATCGAGGTCACAGGAGAATGACTCATTACAGCAAAAAGGAATAGAGGCACTTTATTAATCTCCACATGGAAACCAGGTAGTTTTCACATACCCCATCTTCCTCTCTACGAGATAACAGACACATATGTACACACAGGAAAAAGCAGGTTTTTTCGATCAGAGTGCAGCATCAGCCAGGGTCCTTGAAGCAGGAATGGTTCATTACTTTGGTGGACATAGGATTTGAACCCACAACCTTCCAAACATGGGCATAGAATGCTATCTCACAAAGCTAAATGCCAATAGAAAAGTCCGAGTTGAGGCTGAGAGGGTCACAAGTGTGACAGCTCGGTACAACAGCAAAGTGCTGATAGACTCTTCTGAACACACAATTTCACAGCTTCTCTTGAAGCTTTTCTTGTAGGGAAAGTGAGTTCTAGCTAGCCATGCCTAATAAATTGGCCACTGAGTGTATGCGCATGGTAATAAGATGGCACAATAAGTCCCAGAAAAGTTGTTGTCTTTTACCTTTGAGAAAACAGAATAACTGTCTTGTGTTATTAGTTTGCATGAACGTCACTGAAATTAAATAAATAGGTATGATGGCATAGCTGTCAAGCTCAATAAGAATGAGCGAAAGCATAGCGCATGGTGGCTGAACACAGACTCTTATGTTGCGCAATAGCAAAATTATAGAAACATGGAGCCCAGCTGTTCTTACACTGGACCCCATTTAGCAGTGTGAAGCAAAACTGCGTATGTTAGCAAGAAAACAGCTGACAAATTCATTAAGGAACATACTAATACAAATGAGGAAAGGCAATCACGAGAATATGTTAATCCCAAAACCTATGAATTCTGAATGAAAAATCTAAAATGTTGCTTCACTACTAAAGCTTTTAAGGATATAATAATTGAATGACAGCACACATCTCAAGTCATATCCTATGTATACATGGTTTACATAATAATTTTTAT